AAATGACATTTTGCAAACTTTATATAAAATATTTCAACCATATTTTGTTTTTTAATGTTGTATTGCCATTTGATTTGACATATACTGAGGGCTAAAACATATTCATAAAATTATATTCTTTGTAAACAAGGACCTTTTATCAGATGTCTCAAAATGTATGCTATTTACAAGTATGTTAGTGCTATTCAGAAAGGTAGGAGGACACACATATTTCTTAACAAAGGATTTTGAATGTAATTGACTGCCACCATTACAATCATTCCTTCTCTGAATGCAAATAAATAGATTGTTCATTGAATAGGCATGCAATTTTACAAAATAATGTTAAGAGTAGTTTAAAATGCTTTGCAATATTCATTAGCAAAGCTTTTAATATATGAACTCTTTAAATGGACACTTTAGTCACCAAAACAACTTTAGCTTAATGAAGCAGTTTTTGTGTATAGATCATGTCTCTGAATTTCCTTGCCCAGTTCACTGCCATTTAGGAATTCAATCACTTTTGTTTCTCTTTATGCTGTCCTAGCCTCACCTCCCCTGGCTGCGAGTGATACAGACTGTATAAAAATAAAATGGTTTATTTTTTTAATTATATATTTCTTACTTTATAAGTATGTATCTCCTGCTCTGTAAATTAAACTTGAATTACATACAAAAGGCTCCTGCAGGGTCTAGAAAGCTATTAACAGAGCAGGAGATAAGAAATTCTAAATTGAACAGAATTTGCAATAAAGGAAGTATAAAGATTAGATGACTCTTTACAGGAAGTGTTTAGGAAGGCTGTGTAAGTTACATGCAGGGAGGTGTGACTAGGGCTGCATAAACAAAGTGATTTAGATAATATATGGCAGTGTATTGAGCAGTGAGACAGCATGGGTATTAGCTATACACCACAACTACTTCATTAAGCTAAAGTTGTTTTGGTGACTATAGTGTCCCTTTAAGATCTCATCAGACATTTCATAGTATGAAGGGATTAATGATGGAGATTAAAATATATATAGATCCACAGATGTTGCTGTGCTACAGCCTCTGTACCAGAGATGTCCATTGAATTATGGGACTTGAATATCAAAATCATCTGCTAAAACATATTCATAAAATTATATTCTTTGTAAACAAGGACCTTTTATCAGATGTCTCAAAATGTATGCTATTTACAAGTATGTTAGTGCTATTCAGAAAGGTAGGAGGACACACATATTTCTTAACAAAGGATTTTGAATGTAATTGACTGCCACCATTACAATCATTCCTTCTCTGAATGCAAATAAATAGATTGTTCATTGAATAGGCATGCAATTTTACAAAATAATGTTAAGAGTAGTTTAAAATGCTTTGCAATATTCATTAGCAAAGCTTTTAATATATGAACTCTTTAAATGGACACTTTAGTCACCAAAACAACTTTAGCTTAATGAAGCAGTTTTTGTGTATAGATCATGTCTCTGAATTTCCTTGCCCAGTTCACTGCCATTTAGGAATTCAATCACTTTTGTTTCTCTTTATGCTGTCCTAGCCTCACCTCCCCTGGCTGCGAGTGATACAGACTGTATAAAAATAAAATGGTTTATTTTTTTAATTATATATTTCTTACTTTATAAGTATGTATCTCCTGCTCTGTAAATTAAACTTGAATTACATACAAAAGGCTCCTGCAGGGTCTAGAAAGCTATTAACAGAGCAGGAGATAAGAAATTCTAAATTGAACAGAATTTGCAATAAAGGAAGTATAAAGATTAGATGACTCTTTACAGGAAGTGTTTAGGAAGGCTGTGTAAGTTACATGCAGGGAGGTGTGACTAGGGCTGCATAAACAAAGTGATTTAGATAATATATGGCAGTGTATTGAGCAGTGAGACAGCATGGGTATTAGCTATACACCACAACTACTTCATTAAGCTAAAGTTGTTTTGGTGACTATAGTGTCCCTTTAAGATCTCATCAGACATTTCATAGTATGAAGGGATTAATGATGGAGATTAAAATATATATAGATCCACAGATGTTGCTGTGCTACAGCCTCTGTACCAGAGATGTCCATTGAATTATGGGACTTGAATATCAAAATCATCTGGAGGTCCACATTTTGATTACCTAGTATTATTGCTTATTCACTAATTCACTAAACAGTGAAATGTTTTATATTGACAACTTACTTGTAGAATTAAGGTTCAAACATTCAAATTGATTAATTTTGGCAATTGTAGATATTTTTCAACTAAACAGATAGTTACATGTAAACTGTGCTTTGGCGTTTTTTTTTGTTTTGTTGTTTAATTTCACAGTGCAGTATGACAGATAGTGCTAAGTATTTAGGTTCGTAATGAAAGGAACCGCATAAAATCAGTGTATTTATGTTTATTTTCAGGTTCAGAATATGCGTGCTATGTTTTGTGTTAACTGTGAGACGTTCATGGATGTTGCTGCTTGCCAAAATGTAGTACACAGAGCATCTTCTCTTATATAGATTTAAATGTGAACACTGAGATCATCTTAAATCCATTATTTGTTCCAGCCTATCTGCTGTGTACTGATGAAAAACATCATGATAAATGTTCTTAAATCGTGCAGCACCTCAGGGCAGGAGGACAGTGCACCTTAATATATTCCATATGTGTGTACTTTTTGTTACCACTAAAGTGTGTGCGGTGACTGCACTTCCTACTCAGGAAGTATGACAAATGTATACCTGATAATTCTCAGTAGCATATCTCGCAAGTTGGAGTAAACTTAGAATTAATAATAACATTAATAACTAAAAATAATAATGTAAAAACTGAGTGTAAAGTCAGGGTCCACACTTCTTGCTTTCGGCAATTCAATAATATTTATTAATAGAGGCTAATCAAACAAATAAACAATACATATACATTTGAAATAGGCTAGTATATGTTGCTACCAAAACTAGTCATTGATTGAATGGAAAGTAGACTAAATTAACATAGTAAAACAGGCATAGACACGTGATACAGTTACCACTCCATTGATCACAAGCTGAGAGTAAGAGAGAGAGGGTGTGTAAAGTGGGGAGAGGGAATAGAGAGAGAGAGTGAGGAGAGTGAATTCAAAAAAAGAGAGAATGTGCTATTCACAGGGTCTTTAACAGGTTAGCCCTTCTTTCTGCTGGACACACCTCCCTCAGTAAATCCCTTAGGATGTAACAGAACCAGAGTGCCCCCTTGGGGAAGGGGGATTGCACTGGAAGGGAATGGAGGAGGAGTTTATCAACAACCCAACTGGTTTTGCCTAGTGAAAGGCCATGTGCTTCACAGAGGACTCCATTATTGCCTTAGGGTAGAATGGGGCTTGAATCCCTGTATTGGAACACAATAACACTTCATTGGCATACAGTGTGACTGTTAATCAGTCTCCCCACTTATGTCAATCTATTTAGGGCTTTCAAAAAGTGTAACACTGAAATAGGGTTGTCAGGTGCCCACAGGCTTGGAGCCTCAGTGCTCATTAATCAATTTCTGTGTATGTGAGCAGATTCTCACTTTATTTTGGTAGCATTTCTCATAGATATAGTGAGTTGTGGAAAATCTATTGAAACATAAATGAAATGATATGTAAATGTAGTTTTTCATACAAGTTTTTCATACAAAAGAGCACTCTGCTTTTGCATCAAATTAGATCTTTGTTCTAAATCTGTCTGGTATCTTAGTTATTAATTCACTGTTTAGCGAATAATCCTCTTGATAAATAAGACATCAAATACAACATAAGTTAGTAACTATTACGAAATATGCTGACAAATATACTAACAAATATTGAAGGCTTATTTTTTTTTTAAAAATGAAATAGCACAAAGTCATTTTCTTTTTTAAAAATGGGTTTTTGATGACAGCAATGCTTTTAAGCTTTTGAACTGAATAAAGTAAAAAGTGCATTCAACCTTTCACATGCTAGAAATGTAAGGGTGTTTATCATGTTTCAAACCATATCTTTACCCTTAGAAACAACATTATAATTGTGGCACCTGCAAAATATTCTATGCCATTTGACTGCTGTATTTGTGAATCTGTTATGATGTTTTCCATGTTATAGCATTTGGTATTTAAATATTCATTCCTCATCTAAATAAATCTCTCTACACTTTTACTTTACATTGTACAGCTATAAAATTGTAGGCTGCAATTTTTTTACTAGCTCCACAAAAACATATTACATGCGGTAAAATATTTTTTTAAAAATTCTGACATATTTCCTAGAAATTTCAACTAGTCTATGGTTACAAAAAAAAGAATAAAATTCTAAAAGTATATGAAAATCACATTTTTCTTTTGTCTATACTATTTCTTTAAATTGAATAAACAATGTAAATAGAACATCTTGTTAATATATGAATGGCTTTTAATTTGTAGTTAATAATTTTCCCTTCATCCTAAAATTACTTTTTTTTGACTACGTATAAAGCAAGTATGAAAGAGTTAGTTTGATCGGGGCAAAATTATTTAAGTCTTCTAATCTTCTAATTCAGGTCACTTTTTTCTTTAATCATAATTGTTACGGATCTCCTCTACTCCGACTGTGTATCCTACCTGTGGGGTTGGGAGCCTGGAAGAATTCAGCCCCAGTCTCTTTTCCGCCAGACCAGGTTACAGCTTTCCATCCAGGCAGGTCCCCTGTTCCTAGCCACTGCTTCCTGTCCTCCAGGAAGGTATTGTGCCCTCTTCCTATTGCTCTGCAGCTTTCCTTCCAGGCAGGCAATCATCTCTGCCTGCAGTTTAGTAGCTCTTGTCTTTATAAAGACATTTGCAGCTCTCAAGCCTAGCTCTCTTTGATTTGTCCCAGGGCTAGAGGGATCGTGCAGGTAGCCAACAGGTATAACAGCTCTGTAATTAGGATCCATAAAAATCAACAAAGGACAAACAGTTCCAAAAGGAAATAACATGCAAAGTTTTGTTTTTACTTGGGACTAGCCCATATGATCATTACAATGCCACGGTTCGCCACTGATGGTTCGCCACGGACGGTTCGCCGCGGACTCCAGTCAGCTGACACATTCCAGCCAATCAGCAGCAGACCCTCCCTCCCAGACCCTCCCACCTCCTGGACAGCTCACTAAGAATGCAGCTTCAAAATGGATGCTGTCCAGGAGGTGGGAGAGTCTGGGAGGGAGGGTCTGCTGCTGATTGGCTGGAATGTGTCAGCTGACTGGCGTTCGTGGCGAACCGTTGGTGGCGAACCGTTCGCGAACAGTTCGGCGAACAGTTCGGGACATCACTAATAAAGGTTATGGTGACACACCTAAATAAATACATAAAACCCTATCATGTGAAGAAACATACAGGTACTCATAATAACACATAAACATATTAATAAAGGGGCAGGGAAGACAACTAACATGAAATATCTCTCCTGTCTGCAGAAACCATAATATGCAAATTGACCTGAATATGCAAATTAACAAATCTTGCTATTCATTAGTGCATTTTGCTGTTGCTACAAATAGGTGATGCTCTACAGGCTCCACAGCCAAATACACCTAGTTGGAAGCAAGCACCAGCAAGATAGGATAGCACACAAATCATCTAACTATAAAACAGCAATACACCTATAATGGGCACAGGGTGGCTTAGACATAGGCTTAGTCCGGGGTCCTTCATAAAGTGTCCATACGAAGCTTCAGGTGATCAAATCAGTAATTATACTTGTATATTTAATACAGATTGAACAGGTGCTGTTACTTTAAGTGTATTAATCATTAAGCTTACTTAATGGTTTCATGCACAAAATCATATTAATAGAAACTGAATATTTGGTTTCATATAATTTGAGCTAAAAGGAAATTAATGCGAGCACTCCATTGTTAGATTATACACTGCCTGGCCAAAAAAAAAGTTGCCTCATGGATTTAACTAAGCAAATAGGAAAGAGCATCCTATTGGATAGTTACTGCATGGGCAATTATCTTTCAGCCAGCAACAAGTTATTTAACCCCAACTGATGCAATGAGTAGCTTCTCATTTCTTAAACAACCATGTTGAAAGACACATCTTGTGGTCGTGGAAAATATGTTAGTCTGTTTGAGAAGGGTCAAATCATTGGCATGCATCAAGCAGAGAAAACATCTAAGGAGATTGCAGAAACTACTAAAATTGGGTTAAAAACTGGAAAGATAGTGGGGAACCACCAGTGATGGGTAAGAAGAAAGGGTAAGAAGAAAGGCAGATGAAGTTATGCACCCACCATGCCTAGTGTCTACTGTACAAGCCTGTGGGGGCAGTGCTATGATCTAGGGTTGCTGCAGTTGGTCAGGTCTAGGTTCAGCAACATTATGTGCCCAAAGAATTAGGCCAGCTGACTACCTGAATATACTGAATGATCAGGTTATTCCATCAATGGATCTTTTCTTCCCTGATGGCACAGGCATATTCAAAGATGACAATGCCAAGATTCATCCAGCTCAAATTGTAAAAGAGTGGTTCAGGGAGCATGAAATATCCTTTTCACACATGGATTGGCCACCACAGATTCCAGACCTTAACCTCTTAATATTTGGGATGTGCTGGAGAAGGCTTTGCGCAGTGGTCTGTCTCCTCCATCATCAGATCTTGGTTAAAAATGAATGCAACACTGGACAGAAATAAATCTAGTGACATTGAAACAATGCCACAGCGAATTCATCCCATAATCAAAGCTAAGGCGGTCCAACAAACTATTAGAGTGTGTAAACCTTTTTTTTTTTGGTGGCGGCTTTTTTTTTGGCCAGGCAGTGTATATGATATATTTTGTGTAAATATGTATACAATTATTAAGATTATGTTTCCTTGTAGAATTAAAAACACTTATTAGAAAACATACATTTTCAACAACAACAACAACAATAAAGAATAGTTTTAGCTGTCAAGCTTAAACATAACTACATTGAATAGTATTATATTTTTTTAAGCCATATGTTTCATAAATATATATCTTTCAGTCCCACATTCCCTTGTGATTTAAGAGTATAACTAACACAAACTTAAATGGCACTTCTGGCTGGTTATAATCCCTATTTTAATACATCTCATACTTTTATAAAAAATATATATAATATCTAATCTAATATCTAATATGGCGATCTACTAATAGCACTATCATATTGTTCATGCACTTTATCCATCCTAACTTTTCATCACTGTTTCTTCATATAATCGTTATTGTTTCTACTGCATTATGCAGCACCCTTATTATCATTATACGATCGGCAATATACGATCGGAACCCCGATGGTGACTCACATCACCTGGGGTAAGCCAACATTCACTATTATTCCCTTTTGTACCTTAATTATGTATGTATATATTTGACCACTGTTGTACTAGCATAATGGTTCTTAGAATTGCCAGGCTTAACTCTTTCAAGAAAGTGTATAATTAGAATAATCAGAGAAAGGTCAAAGATCAAAAGATACTGTAAATCATCTGAGACACAAGCCTTGTCATGGAATAGGAAAGTTAGGATCAGAATAATTTACAACCACAAACAATTTGCAATTGGGAACAACAGGGAACTACAACAGGTCAATGAGCTCCAGGGGAAGAGGAGTTTATATGTTGACTGATGCTAAGATTGCTTCCTACATCATATTTGCACTCTCACAATATGCACACTCAAGTGACGTGGGCCGTTCTACATCCTTTTTTTTATTAATGGAATAGGAACTATAAATGAACACAGGATTACAGTGTCCAGTGCCAAAATTTAAGCCAAAATTATACACGAGATAAGTGGTGCATGTCAACATTGATGTTGGAATGATGTGGGTTGAAGGATAGGTGGTAGCCTGCATCAATTATGATGTTAGAATTACGTGGGTTGGAGGACGAGTGGCAATCCACACTAGTTTTACATTATCTTCATTAGTGTTCTATTTGTGTTTCTGTTTCCCAGAAGTATCTATGCCTACATTAGGCTGAGAGATATTGCTGTATACGCTCAATAGTCAAAATAAGCTTTCATTCTTCCACAAGGGTTAAATTTGCGGCACAAATTTATGTGTATTCCAACAACAAAGAAAAAGTGCAGGGTGCACAGCAGTGGGTTTGAAATAATGACATTTTTTCCTAATACAACATATAAAAAAAGAAAGCAACATCAGTTTCAGCAAATTTCTTAAAATCAGTTCTCTTCCTTTGTTTGCCCATAAGGGTATTAAAAATATACAGTACTTCCAAAGGAACCAAGATGTCAGTGAAATTTTTTTAGTATGGGCTCCGGTCTGCTGTAATATGGCTAAGACCTGGTTCCCTTTGGAAGTTCTATTTTTAAAACCACAGCGGGTGAATAAAGGAAGATAACTGATTTAAAAAAAACAATTCTCAATAGTATTACTTTTAGCCAATCAAGGTTCCTACCTTCCCATTGTGGTTATACAACTAATTTGTTTTAGGAAGAGGGATTGTGGATCTTTAATAACATTTACAAAGTAAAAAAGATCAAATGCATTTATGCTTACACTATCTAATGGTATCATAGATGTCGGAAGACCACTTCTACCTCTGAAAATAGTCTCTTCCAGATTACAGAACCTTCAGATATACCCAAAAGTATTTTAAATGAAAAACTTATCTGTGCTTGATTGGATGTTTTAGTGCTAAATAAACCACATAATAATTCTACATTAGATAAGTTAACAGTGCACACACAAAAATATAGTTTTAAATCCTTAAATGTAACTTAAAATCACAAATTAACAAATAAATCTGGGGATTTATTCACACTAAAGGCAATAATATTGGTGGATCCTACATTAATCTTAATATGAAAGATAAACCTGTTAACTGCAATACTTTGTGCCTAATGAGCTTTAAGAGACTTCCCTCAAATGTATGCTTCCCTAAGGTCACTTCCAGTGGAGCATCTGGAGTGGAGGGGTGGGGTGATCAACCCAAAATGTATCTGGTCAGGACTCCCAATATAACCCAAAAAAGGAAATTTGGATGCACACCTGGCTGTTCTGACTTTTGGTATAAGTGGAGCCATATGTAAGTGACATGTAGACATTTATACCAGGAGCATATCATGGAACATATCTGTTTTTTCCAGTCTGTATGATATAGTACAGAGTTCTTAAACACTTATCCCTAGATGTTGATGCCCAACAACTACCAGCATTAATTGAATGCATTTGATAGCTACTGAATCATGGGAGTGGTAGCTTAGCAACATCTGCATGGTCAAAGTGTGAGGTGCCTGATATTGTGGTTCCTAGTATAAACAATACTTAATGGCGGCATTTTACTTCCAAGCATGTTAACAAGCTCAATGTGAGCTCACACAGATAAACTTAAATAGAGTAGTCTTATTATTTCTAAACAATATAATTAGAGGGCTTCCACAAGTAGAATACTAGACTATTATGCAATTTGCTTATAGAATCAAATAACAACATGGACATATCAGTGAGTTAAAACTAAGTTTCTTCTCATCTTTGAAAGTAATTAATTAATTTGAAACAATGTTTGATTTTGATTTTTCATTAAACTTTTGAAATATCCAGTTTTGGTTTTATCCTTGCTATAAATCAGTGGTGCCAAGTCCCAGTCTTCAAGAGCAGCCTCCAAACACTAACCATTAAAAATAAATGAGTGCAAAAATGTGTATATATTAAAGATAATCACACTATGCTCAAGGATACAAAATATAAATTGTTTAATTAATTTATTGAGAAACAAATGGCAAAACTAAAGCCTTGAATTAAGGTGACCAGATGTCCATATTTATAAGGAACATATATTTTCCAGAAAATGTGCTGTAGGGCTGGATTAAAGTCATTGACACACTTTATGATTCATTATTACGTGTCAGAGCTTAAGGGCAAGCTTAATTTATGCTGAATTTCAGACATTGACATTGTATTTTATTATTATCCCCTGTTTCTATAACAGTATTTGTCAAACCAGCCTTCCAGAATTACTTATGCTCCTGGTTTTATGACTATCAATATTTGAAAAGAATCGGGTAATCCTTAAATCCTTACTGTTGATGTTCCTTAAGGGCTAGTTTATATAAGTAAGTAGATTGTGTTTTTGTGAAACTGTTTCACCCATGTACGATGATCTATTTGAAGGACTTTGTCTGCCAGGCATACTTTCAGTATTCTTCTCAGAATCATTTAAATCTATAAACACCAACAACAAAATTTACTATTATCAAAGCATCAAACC